CTAGGGGGAGGGGTGGGCGAGAGGGGGAGAACAGGGGATTCTGTGGCTATTATGTTGAACTGAATGGTGTTGTAAAATAATAATAATAATAATAATAATAAATAAATAAATAAATAAAAAACATAAAAAAATTAATTATGCTCATTAAAACAAACTTTTTTTCATTTTTTAAAATTTATTTATTAAATTTAATTTTACATATCAGCCACGGATTCCCTTGTTCTTCCCACTCCCACCACACCCCACCCCCGGTCTCCCCCCCAGCCCACCCCCCATTCCCATCTCCTCCAGGGCAAAAACTCCCCCAAGGACTGAGTTCAACCTGGTAGATTCAGTCCAGGCAGGTCCAGTCCCCTCCTCCCAGGCTTGATTGTACCAATGCAAATAGAGGCAAAAAATAATAATAAAAAATTGGCATAAAATATTTGAGTCCACATTGAGGTCATAGACTAGAGATGATAACATAGAAATAAAAAGAGAGTGGAGAGAAAGGGAAGAGAGGAGAAATCGAGAAATAGAGAGAGGGAGATGTTAAGATGCAGAGAGAGATAAAAAATGGAAGCATGTAGAGGGAACACTGAGGAGTGAATCAACACTGGTAACTATCTAACTATCTCTGGCTCTTTTTTTCCAGGTTTGTATAAGAAACCTTCTCTGTCAGTCATGATGGGCCCTGTGGTGATGTCAGGAGAGAACATGACTTTGTCCTGTGTGTCTGACCTTCAGTTTGACATGTTCCATTTGTCAAGAGAAGGGGTACCCAAGCGACATGGGCTGCCTTCAGTGCAGAACCATAGTGGGACATTCCAATCCAACTTCCTTCTTGGTCCTGTAGTCCAGGCAGGGAAATATAGATGCTATGGCTCTTTCAGGAACTCTTCCAATGTGTGGTCCATCCCAAGTGACCCTGTCTACCTTCTTGTCACAGGTAAGAAAACTTCATATATATTTCATATTTTGTGACTAATGAAATACTGAAGCCATGTCTTGGAATCCTCCAAGTGATGATAGAGGGGAAAATAGCATTGGGAGCTACAGAGAAGGATTGCTGTGAGTCCTAATGTCTTGTGTGTGTGTGTGTGTGTGTGTGTGTGTGTGTGTGTGTGTGTGTATACATATATGTGAGTGTGTGCTACATTTATAGGTGTGTATACATATGTGATGCATATATGTATATTTACATATATATGAACGTGTATATGTGGCATATGTACAAATATGTGTGAATTTGCATATCTTTAGATATACATGTAACAATAATTTTCAGTGAAAAGGAGGCTATTAACTAAAGAGTGGAGAGGGGATATAAGAAAGCTTGGAGGAAGGGTTGCTGGGAGGGACTGGAGAGGGGAAAGGGAGGGGGAAGGGAAAGAATTATATTTCAACTGAAAACCTTTTGAAAAAACTTGGAATTTGGGACTCAGCCAATGTATATATATGTATCACATTACAATATATCAATATATAAACACATGTATAACACATCCAAAATATAAAAATTAAAGAAAAAGAGAATATCAACTTAAGAGTGGTGGATGGAATGAGAAACTTGGAGGAAGGATACCTGGGAAGTGCTAAAAAGAGTAAAGGGAGAGGGAAGAAATATAATTATATATCACTTAAAAAACTTTTTTAATAAAAACAGGTGAAGTTTGAGTAGGGATATCAGATTACAAAATAATAGACCAGGAGCATCCCAAACAGTCCTGACCTTGCTTGGCCAGACACACCAGGACATCGTATGTACATACAGATATAGAAAGTGGTCAGGAAAGACTCATAATGGATGAGATTGGGATGAGTTGGGCAGAGAAGAGATGGAACAGCCCTCCTGATATCTCAATCACATAGATCTCTCCACAGTATTCCTATTGTCTCATCA